GTCGTGTTAGAAGTTCATATATTTGGATATAAAAAGAGTTATGTTGACTTACAAATTTTAAAAAATGTTACGTAACTCGCGGGCGTATTATTTTGGAAAAAAACAATATTATGAAAATGAAGTTATTAAATTACTTCATCTTAAATGTCTTAGTTGTTGTAAGCCCTAAATTTAAATTTTTATATAAGAAAAACGTGCAGAGAAATAGAAGGATAAAAATATATAACTTATTATTAAATTAAATAAATGAAACGTTAACAAATCATATGATGATAATGGAAAATTTAAGATGGATAATCAAGATTAGAGTCCGAAGCTGTGACCGTAGGGCTAAGAAGTGAATAGAGTGGCTGAAAGCTACACTGAATGACCATACTGTAATCAGGACTTCGCTGCGTCAGTGACTCTCCCTCTTCTACCCCCGAGTCCCTCCCAAGCTTCACTGTCCGTCCCATCGTTGATTGCACTAACCTCACAATGCACCTAAATCAAATGGCAGTAGGACAATTTACCTTAATCAGGTTACTAATAAGAGTCAGTAGAAAAATTCCTATTCTTTTTTTTTTCCTTTTAGTGTGCGTGGGAGAAGCATTGGCTCTTTATGGTCAGCTGGTCAGGTCCCAGGCTGAATCTAATGTTGATTTGCACTTTGTGCTGCAGACACTGCAGGACGATTGCTAACAAGATCAAATCCACTCCCCTCCATCGTTCTACCTCTGGGCAAACATCGAAATGATGTTTTACAGACTTACTACAAAAGTCTAGTTGGGAATTTAATCTAAACTATCGATAACATTTTCTTTTAGGGGATGGAATTAATGTCATTCTTTTAGGTTCTTGAGATGTTGGTGATTTTAGTTTTAGAGATTAGCTAACGATGTGAAGTTTTAGTTATAACAGTCTGATGTGGGGGACCAAATGCGGTTTTATTCGTTTAAAAATTCTCAACTTAGGACGCCTCGAGATATTTATGTAGCCATTAAATGAATTATAAGATATTTTTAATAAAACTTTACTTTATAAAATAATTCGTATAAGTCTGCACGTAACACATTTGCCATATATAATTTGTAAAAATAATTAAATTATGATACGAATTCTTTATATGATTACTAATTATACTTTGTTTATTGTTTAGAATAAAATAACGCTGTATAAAAGTCATTCAAAACCTAAAAAAATATCAAGCTAAACTTTAAAATATTAGTATTATATCTGTATATAAAAGTCTTAGAATATAAAGAAATATAACGAATTAAATATAAAAATTTCTCTACAATAACGATTGCGGTCTAAGTAAAACATATTTGCCAATCGTAGAGCTAGTAATATGATCAAAGCAAGCTTGAACGAATCAGTCGATGACCGAGCATTCTGAAAGTTATTAAACAGAAATCAATGTATCCTTTACAAACTTTATGAAGTAGAATTTTTATCGAAAAACACATAGTTTTTTTCACGACAACATAAATCGTTATTACTACTTGCCTCTCTCTGTAATAAATTCAAATGTTTAAGATTGTTAATAATTTAAATGCTTTTTATATTGTCTGATTAATTCAAAAAGTTTGCTTAAATTTAAAATTGAAATTGTATCTTTAATGGATTTACATTTAATTGTTTTAAACTAGAAATTTCTCTTAAATTGGCTTAAATACAAAACGAATAAAGAATAAAAACAAATTTTCGTAACATAAAAGAAAGTAATGATAAAAAATAATTGATTTGAAGTATCAATAAGCAATTAATATAAATAGTTAATATAAATATCGATTTCTGCTTTTCTGATATTATATTTGTCTTCAATTTAATAATAATACATTTATATTTGTTTTATAATCCATAACAAAGTTGTAATGCGGATGCGTTTCCGTCTACACGGGAGTTATTAATTGGAACTTTCACATTCGGAATAGCGACTGACAATGTCAATTCCTACTCAGAAAGAAACAAAACAAGAGTGGTTAAGATTCAGACCTTTTCTTGCGCTGCCAAAATGATGTATCGACAGATTAATGGGTAATAACCCATAGAGACTAAGCTAGCATGGAGTGGTTGTGCCATACGGATTGGCGAAGTCAATTGTCATTCTGTTGAGGCCGTGTACGTCTCATCTCACAGAATGAAACAGGCGAAGATGAAAGCCATACGTCAAATAGCAGTCCTTGTTGATTAAACTCCTCCGAAGAGGCGGCCTGGGAGAAGATAGCGAGAACCTCTATTTATCTGAAATTGACAGCCCTCTTGCAGGGTTGGGAGTCACCTTCCTTCAAAGACACCTTAGCTAACAGAGCAGAAACATTATCACAACGATTTCTTTTGCCAAGCAGCTAGTTGTAAATCACCCAACTATAAACACCCATTCATTGTGACCCATAAATTTCCTGTCAAAAAACAGCATGGTCCTTATAAATGGAACTCGGACTGCTAGTCATACAAATGTGTATATTTGTCGACTGTTCTTTCGCTGCTATGAACATACTTTGCCGTTCCCCATTTTAAGTCTTAATGTTTTTTTTATTTTAACCCAATTGGGGTAAATGGAAAGGTGGTGTTTCTTGTTGGGTTCTTGGTAATGATTTTTAATGGTGTGTCTATGGGACGATTGACTCTTCCTTTATAGATGAGTTCGATAATCGGGGTAGGTAATTGGAAGTCTTTTAAAGTTGATTTTGCCATTTTAAGAGTTCATGTTTCTTACTTAAAGCTTTGACGATAGATCATTGGATGAAAAGTTTAACTATCATTCTCTTGGGATGATTCATCGATATCTTTGGGAGAGGATTGGTCCCGTTAATGACGTGTCTGACACACGAAATTTTAGAACTGCATTAAATTACACCAGTGACTGTACAACTTTTATATGTTAAAACCAAGAATTTAACTTTTAACTTTTTAGCATAAATTAATTCTGTTTGTGCAAACATTTATGTTCGCTGTTCGATTATAGTCTATATTATAATTATCCTATATATTTCTTTTCTTTGTATGACATTAATTTTATATATGATTTATTTCTAGAATTATAACTTAGAAGGATTTTTGTCCCAAACAGACATTTATAAATTAGATGTTTGATTGTAATAGATCACATAATAATAATAATATAACAAAATTAATTATTTTAATATTATTTTCTACAATTATTCAGAAATTAATTTCGATGATTTTGGAATTAGTTATCATTCAAATTACTTATTAATAAGTTATATTACATTTTACGAATAATTTGTGAATTTATTAATTAGTTATTACATAAAAATGAACTACTTTAAGTTCGATTAGAACTACACTCTGCCTCCATTGATGGACTACAATGGTTCACTTTTCACCTTTGGGATAATAGCAACGAATAAATACATCCATATTGGTTTCAGACTCGACATATGCCATAACCCATACGCCATAGTGACGTCATATTTGCAAGTCACGTGACAGGAAACCATTAGAGTCAATCTGGCAGGCTAAAGCTAAGCCGAATAAATGGCAGATATATTTCTATCTTCCCATATTGGAACTCCAGTAATGAAGTTGACCTGTCACTACTACAATAGTAACGACACCCGCAGCTCGTCTATACTTCTTGATCTCGTGCTAAATCCTATACAATAAATGGTTGTAGGAGTCCTGCTACTATCGACATCATATTCAGACATTTATATTGACATACAGACTCGGCACGAAAAAGAAACAAAAATTAGGTTGGATGTATCTGTGAGTCAAATTCTTAAAGTCTGCGAATCCGCCTCTCTCACTCTGCTTGTGAATAAATTGATATAGAGCCATACCACACTTTGCTTTTGCCGCTAGATGTCCAAAAAAGGTACAACCCAAACTGTATTATTCTAAAACCATCCTCAAAGGAAACAAATAGCCCGGTAGAACAATTAAATTATGGAAACTACAGTCGACTGTATCTGTGCAGTTAATCCTCCCAGGAAAGCTGCTATACTGCACTTCTACACCGTGCCCTCAAGGTTTGTCAAATTCTCCCTATAATGGGTGTTAGATCGGTGGCCCAGTCACTTTGTAAACTTTATTACGCAACCCAAGGCGTGTGTACATTGAATTTAAACTCCTTTGCTTCCTTTCTCTTTTGTTGGAAACAGTATCTGACGGCTGAGGTTTCTATGTCTCTCAGGGGTGAACATCTGCTTTAGGTGCTCCCTGCCTTCTATTAGAATCTCTGCAATGACTGAAAAGCAAATAAGATTCGAAGTCTGAAATCATTCCAATAAACTCATTCAGAAAATTTCAATAATGTATAAACTTCAACATCTGCTTTAATACGAGTGTCAATATTTATGAAACTTTTATGTTCTGGATACAAATTACTATTATTATCAAGTTTTTCAAAAAACAACATCTTTTTTACTGTAAAATTCAATTAAACATTTATTAACTAAGTGTATTAATTTATTGAAAATTCGTTTTTTTTCATATTTTATTAATTCCAGAATAAATAAAAATACAAAAATTCAATAATTTCATTTTAGACAAGTCTTATTTAAGTGAAAATTTTTAACTTTAAACTGATTATCGTCACGAATATCGAATTTTTAACATTTTAAACTTCAAAATAAATAATAAAATTAGAAATTATAGGTTTAAAAATCCATATTTTTTAATCTATTAAAAATGTAATTTAATTTTAAAAATTTACAGATTTCTCAATAAATTAAATTATATTAATAATGTTAAAAATAAATTTATGAAGATGTGCAATAATAAAATTGTATTTTTTTTTCATATAAAAATATTAAAATGTTTAATACTTTAATCCCGCTACTTAACTTATTGGCCTGTAATTTATTTATTATAAATTTTCTTAATTCTACTGGAATATCACCGAGAAAATGGAAAAAATTTATATTTAAAAGTAGTCGTCATAATAATTTGTTCTAGGATGATAGTTAAGTTTTAAATATTTTAAAATTTCACCGAATAGCCAAGAAATTAAATTAAACAAACTAATATGAACGATGTTGTGCGTGTTGTAGGTGCTCCTCTTCGTCCGCGATCTATGACAGCAGTTGCCATGGAGATATTTGAACAACATCAGGGGACACACATCCTCCAGGTGAGTAATATCATTTGATGTTTGAACCTTTAACTATGCACACATTAGCCATATAAAATATGGCGCTTTTACTTCATTATCATCCGAATGAGAAGGGTGCTTCAATCTGGCTTTAATAATTAAGGAAATGAATTTCCTGCTTCATATTTCCCCATTCTTTTTTATTTTATTTTATAAATCTAATTGTCAAAATTAAAATATGAGATTTATTTCTTCGATGATTAAGTTAAAACTTCGGGATCGAACTCATTTTTTAAAAGCTTCTTACAGATTAGCTAGCGAGACATTAATAGGCCTAAACTTTAATACACAAAAATTATCATAAAATCTAATTTATTCATCTAGATTTCCAGGTGTGTTTACATCTAGACTATATTTCAATTTTTTTGTTTTATAAATTATACAGTCAGATGGAAATTTTGATGAAACAAAGATTTATTATTGCTAACGGCTTAGATCTAAAACAGCGCATTAGGAATAATGATATAATAAAAAATCTTAAATGGCTTTATTTTTTAAACTAGTCTTAATAAATGAATGTCTTATCATAATATTCCGGGTTGAAATCAAATTAAAGATTTGTTTAAAGGCATTAAGATTTTTTTTTCCTTATTCAAACAAGGATATTTTCTCATGGGTTGTCATTTAAAAGAACTGACAACACATTATTGATGTATCTATGGTAGGAATTCAAACTAGTAATTTGTCGGTAGCCTGTATTCCTGTAACGCGTGATAGTTAAAACACCTACGTCACGAATTTCGGTGGTAAAGTTACGTGTAGGTAAGAATCCTATAAATCTTCTTCCAGTCTATAATCTCCATCCTCCTTAAGTAATTACTGTAACAATGGTTTAGCTCCGCTTGGCGATATCACGTTTTGTATATTAACACCGAAAATTTCTCATGCCACGAACTTTATTATTATTATTTTTTAGGTGAAGTTTTATTCTTTAGTATTTTTAAAATAAAATATTTAGTTTATGTTCTTATCGAATCTTCACTTTTCCATACCGGTTAAAAGACCAAAGAAAAAAAAAACTGAACTTCGTGAAGGATAAACATTGTATACTTCAGCCTTTAATACGTTAAATTATTATTTGAAAAATGTTGCTTTAATTTATCTTACAAATGATGCTTATAAAACAGAATTTAGATAACGTGAAGTTTCTACAGGAAAAACTGCGAATGCAAACACATTTTACCAACACTTTTAGCCGCTTTGACATTTAAATGATTGAAAATAGAGATAAACTCTTCACCTTTTCCATCTTCTGCCGTATTTAGAATTAGAATCATTATTCTGGCGCGACTGGTTAAGGAAGAAAAAGTGGACTGGCCTCTTGTGTACTTAAAAATAAAGTAAAATAAACTTCAATTTTCGAATTCACGAATTTCTATAACACCTATTTATACGTTTATTTCTGCTGTCGACGGTAAATATTTGAACCTGTTGCATGCAGTTTCGAGCATCAACCGCAACGATACTTGTTATAACATCTACCCATTAGGAGCCCTAAATCCAAGGAGTGCCTTTCAAAATACGGAAGAGCAAAGCTCAAGGTCACTGTCTAGCGCAACGGGATTAAATCTCCTTCTGCTTTCTCTCCTATAGGCCTATGTTTAAACTACCATTTCGCTGTTACATCGGTGAATGTAGAGCAGATTTCAATCAAATTTGACCGGGACAGCCTAGTCCATCGACCACTCCTATCAGGATTTGAGTTCCATTAACAATAACATTTTTAACAATAGATAACCATAATTTAGAGAAATTTTATTCATAATAGCTGTTATTATTTGACTTAATTTAGAGTATAATGTAAGTGGAAGGGAGAATAGCTAATTATAATTCTCTCAAATAGGCCCCTAATGTTAAGGAGATTCGATTATAACCAAAGAATCAGTTTTTCTTAATAAGATTTGAAAATTATACTACAAAAGCTGTTCAATATTACAGTAATTGAAAAAAAAAGAGATAAATTACTTTATAAACATCTAATAACAGTTAATAAAATATACAATATATGTGATGTAGTTATATATAATAATTTTTTAAGGGGTATTCCATGTACAAATGTACTTATATAAATGACATAAAAGCGTTTTATTATACGCGTTACTATGAAAATAATTACTAAAATTAAAACCTTAATAAAAGAAAAAAATATCTATTTTTGTTTCCAATCTACTATAAAAGTTGTATTCAACAGTCTTATTAAGTTAAAAGGTATTTAAATAGCACACATTAGAGAGGAGTGTATTTTATGGCCTCATATCTCAATATTAGATAAGGGACAGAACCATCTATGGAGAGATTATGAAACTAAAATATCTTTTTTTCTTTATAAATATTTAAATATTTTAACTTTATTTTGAAGATTATTTATGTATTTTTCAGTCATTAGACGGATTTGCATTCGCTTTAGCAGCTGATGGCAGGTTTTTGTATATTTCCGAAACAGTTTCGATATATCTAGGACTTTCTCAGGTAATTTTGAATGTTTATTAATTTATAATTTTAATATAGTCTATAAATATTAAAGATGCGATTAANGGAGATTTAAGTATCACATTTTAAATATAATTAAATAAATTTGATGTATAAAAAACCTTAATGGCTAGATTTCGAATCCATATATTGAAATAAATATCCACTTTTGTGTAAAATAAAATTAGTTTTAGTAGTAGATTAACCGAGACGTTGATCAAGTTGTATTCTAATATTCAATATACCCATAACACTTATACACCAGGGTGTTGGGCGTTTCGTTTCATCGCCAATTGGTTTTGTTATGACATCTTTTGGTAATATATAAGGTCATAAATCTAGTAAACACAAGTAAAGGGAAATGGTAGAAGCGCAACTGTTGATTAGCGACCTGTCAAGCATAATCGGATTACACGGTCCAGTCAAAATTAGCGACAAGATTATCCAGACATACAAATTTTACTCATTATGCAGTCGTTTGTTGTACCACTGCGTTTTAATGCGTAATCGAGTATCAAAATAACCAGAATGAATTTTGAATTAGTATTAAATCATACGTTGCAATTTCAAAATGTAAAAGTCTAATTTAATTTTTCGGTTTCTTTAATCACGTATTCGCTACTCTATCAAAGCCGGGCTCGTATTCATTTAATGTTAAGAGCTGGATAATAATAAAGAATAAAATACAATCATATTCGAATTACTCATCCTTCTTATAAGTTCGAATCGAATTATTTATTTTTACAGAATTTGTGACAAAATCGAACCATGATCGGAATTAAATAATAAGCAAATTGCCATTAGGATAATTATATGAGGACGTATGACCTCAAAGAAATATCATAAACTAATCTAGAGTTGACATTTATGATTCGTTTCTTTGATAATTATATCAAACGGCTAAAAAAAAAGCGGTTTGTGTTATTCTTACATCACTTCTTGTCGATGCAACCATTTTTTTAAGGACCTCGTCATCGTGATGTGGGTTAAAAACATGCTTTTAAAATAATTTTTCTACGTTTTATTGGCTAATTATTTTAAATAGCAGAAAAATATTTAGGCCTATACAATTGAAAGAAAAATAACTTTTTCATTGTTTCTTCGTTAACGTATTGTGTAAAACAGTTCCAAGCTTGTGAAAATAGATAACATTAAATATTAGTCGTGTTAGAAGTTCATATATTTGGATATAAAAAGAGTTATGTTGACTTACAAATTTTAAAAAATGTTACGTAACTCGCGGGCGTATTATTTTGGAAAAAAACAATATTATGAAAATGAAGTTATTAAATTACTTCATCTTAAATGTCTTAGTTGTTGTAAGCCCTAAATTTAAATTTTTATATAAGAAAAACGTGCAGAGAAATAGAAGGATAAAAATATATAACTTATTATTAAATTAAATAAATGAAACGTTAACAAATCATATGATGATAATGGAAAATTTAAGATGGATAATCAAGATTAGAGTCCGAAGCTGTGACCGTAGGGCTAAGAAGTGAATAGAGTGGCTGAAGGCTACACTGAATGACCATACTGTAATCAGGACTTCGCTGCGTCAGTGACTCTCCCTCTTCTACCCCCGAGTCCCTCCCAAGCTTCACTGTCCCATCGTTGATTGCACTAACCTCACAATGCACCTAAATCAAATGGCAGTAGGACAATTTACCTTAATCAGGTTACTAATAAGAGTCAGTAGAAAAATTCCTATTCTTTTTTTTTTCCTTTTAGTGTGCGTGGGAGAAGCATTGGCTCTTTATGGTCAGCTGGTCAGGTCCCAGGCTGAATCTAATGTTGATTTGCACTTTGTGCTGCAGACACTGCAGGACGATTGCTAACAAGATCAAATCCACTCCCCTCCATCGTTCTACCTCTGGGCAAACATCGAAATGATGTTTTACAGACTTACTACAAAAGTCTAGTTGGGAATTTAATCTAAACTATCGATAACATTTTCTTTTAGGGGATGGAATTAATGTCATTCTTTTAGGTTCTTGAGATGTTGGTGATTTTAGTTTTAGAGATTAGCTAACGATGTGAAGTTTTAGTTATAACAGTCTGATGTGGGGGACCAAATGCGGTTTTATTCGTTTAAAAATTCTCAACTTAGGACGCCTCGAGATATTTATGTAGCCATTAAATGAATTATAAGATATTTTTAATAAAACTTTACTTTATAAAATAATTCGTATAAGTCTGCACGTAACACATTTGCCATATATAATTTGTAAAAATAATTAAATTATGATACGAATTCTTTATATGATTACTAATTATACTTTGTTTATTGTTTAGAATAAAATAACGCTGTATAAAAGTCATTCAAAACCTAAAAAAATATCAAGCTAAACTTTAAAATATTAGTATTATATCTGTATATAAAAGTCTTAGAATATAAAGAAATATAACGAATTAAATATAAAAATTTCTCTACAATAACGATTGCGGTCTAAGTAAAACATATTTGCCAATCGTAGAGCTAGTAATATGATCAAAGCAAGCTTGAACGAATCAGTCGATGACCGAGCATTCTGAAAGTTATTAAACAGAAATCAATGTATCCTTTACAAACTTTATGAAGTAGAATTTTTATCGAAAAACACATAGTTTTTTTCACGACAACATAAATCTTTATTACTACTTGCCTCTCTCTGTAATAAATTCAAATGTTTAAGATTGTTAATAATTTAAATGCTTTTTATATTGTCTGATTAATTCAAAAAGTTTGCTTAAATTTAAAATTGAAATTGTATCTTTAATGGATTTACATTTAATTGTTTTAAACTAGAAATTTCTCTTAAATTGGCTTAAATACAAAACGAATAAAGAATAAAAACAAATTTTCGTAACATAAAAGAAAGTAATGATAAAAAATAATTGATTTGAAGTATCAATAAGCAATTAATATAAATAGTTAATATAAATATCGATTTCTGCTTTTCTGATATTATATTTGTCTTCAATTTAATAATAATACATTTATATTTGTTTTATAATCCATAACAAAGTTGTAATGCGGATGCGTTTCCGTCTACACGGGAGTTATTAATTGGAACTTTCACATTCGGAATAGCGACTGACAATGTCAATTCCTACTCAGAAAGAAACAAAACAAGAGTGGTTAAGATTCAGACCTTTTCTTGCGCTGCCAAAATGATGTATCGACAGATTAATGGGTAATAACCCATAGAGACTAAGCTAGCATGGAGTGGTTGTGCCATACGGATTGGCGAAGTCAATTGTCATTCTGTTGAGGCCGTGTACGTCTCATCTCACAGAATGAAACAGGCGAAGATGAAAGCCATACGTCAAATAGCAGTCCTTGTTGATTAAACTCCTCCGAAGAGGCGGCCTGGGAGAAGATAGCGAGAACCTCTATTTATCTGAAATTGACAGCCCTCTTGCAGGGTTGGGAGTCACCTTCCTTCAAAGACACCTTAGCTAACAGAGCAGAAACATTATCACAACGATTTCTTTTGCCAAGCAGCTAGTTGTAAATCACCCAACTATAAACACCCATTCATTGTGACCCATAAATTTCCTGTCAAAAAACAGCATGGTCCTTATAAATGGAACTCGGACTGCTAGTCATACAAATGTGTATATTTGTCGACTGTTCTTTCGCTGCTATGAACATACTTTGCCGTTCCCCATTTTAAGTCTTAATGTTTTTTTTATTTTAACCCAATTGGGGTAAATGGAAAGGTGGTGTTTCTTGTTGGGTTCTTGGTAATGATTTTTAATGGTGTGTCTATGGGACGATTGACTCTTCCTTTATAGATGAGTTCGATAATCGGGGTAGGTAATTGGAAGTCTTTTAAAGTTGATTTTGCCATTTTAAGAGTTCATGTTTCTTACTTAAAGCTTTGACGATAGATCATTGGATGAAAAGTTTAACTATCATTCTCTTGGGATGATTCATCGATGTCTTTGGGAGAGGATTGGTCCCGTTAATGACGTGTCTGACACACGAAATTTTAGAACTGCATTAAATTACACCAGTGACTGTACAACTTTTATATGTTAAAACCAAGAATTTAACTTTTAAGTTTTTAGCATAAATTAATTCTGTTTGTGCAAACATTTATGTTCGCTGTTCGATTATAGTCTATATTATAATTATCCTATATATTTCTTTTCTTTGTATGACATTAATTTTATATATGATTTATTTCTAGAATTATAACTTAGAAGGATTTTTGTCCCAAACAGACATTTATAAATTAGATGTTTGATTGTAATAGATCACATAATAATAATAATATAACAGAATTAATTATTTTAATATTATTTTCTACAATTATTCAGAAATTAATTTCGATGATTTTGGAATTAGTTATCATTCAAATTACTTATTAATAAGTTATATTACATTTTACGAATAATTTGTGAATTTATTAATTAGTTATTACATAAAAATGAACTACTTTAAGTTCGATTAGAACTACACTCTGCCTCCATTGATGGACTACAATGGTTCACTTTTCACCTTTGGGATAATAGCAACGAATAAATACATCCATATTGGTTTCAGACTCGACATATGCCATAACCCATACGCCATAGTGACGTCATATTTGCAAGTCACGTGACAGGAAACCATTAGAGTCAATCTGGCAGGCTAAAGCTAAGCCGAATAAATGGCAGATATATTTCTATCTTCCCATATTGGAACTCCAGTAATGAAGTTGACCTGTCACTACTACAATAGTAACGACACCCGCAGCTCGTCTATACTTCTTGATCTCGTGCTAAATCCTATACAATAAATGGTTGTAGGAGTCCTGCTACTATCGACATCATATTCAGACATTTATATTGACATACAGACTCGGCACGAAAAAGAAACAAAAATTAGGTTGGATGTATCTGTGAGTCAAATTCTTAAAGTCTGCGAATCCGCCTCTCTCACTCTGCTTGTGAATAAATTGATATAGAGCCATACCACACTTTGCTTTTGCCGCTAGATGTCCAAAAAAGGTACAACCCAAACTGTATTA